TTTTTTTTTTTTTTTTTTTTTTGTACCAGGGATCGAACTCTCAGGTCCTTGTGCTTGCGAGGCAGGTGCCAGAACCACCAAACTCAATCCCCAACCCAAACCAGGCCATTTTTAAATTCAGGAAACAAACATGGCTGTTGCTTGTCCTACCATCACACTTTTTCGTATCTTGAGCTAATACACTGAAAGGTAAGTATACTTCACAGAGATAGGGGAGCAGACTCAAGGTTCCCAAAATGACCAGACCACAAAGTAGAGCACTTAGCAGGCAGCACTGGATCCAGGTCTTACTAAAGCACACATCTAATTTTTTTCTTATTTCTTCTAAGTCAGTTATGGTAGTGCACGTCTATGATCCCAGTATGCAGGAGGCTCAGGCGGGAGGGCCCCCCTAGTTTGAGGACTGCCTGAGCTACGTGAGACCCTATCTCAAAAAAAAATCCCCCAAACCTCCCTCCCTCCCTATTACATATGCTAACTGCTGTTAGGCTTATGTCTTGGTGTCCTCCAAAACCCCGTGCACTCAGTTTGGGCCACGAGCGCGTGGTGCTGATGGTGGGTTAGCCCACTGATGAGCTCCCAGCTAAATGTGCTTGCAGGGCTGGAGCCGGGCAGAGGGGTGTCCCGGGGGCGTGGCCTTGAAGGGTCCTCTCCCTCCTGCCTCCCTCGGCCCCTCTCTGCTTCCTGCAACCCCCCTGTGAGCTGTTTCTCCTCTGCTTTCTCTTTGATGACAAAGAGGGACTTGGTGACAGCATTTGCCGCAAACTGAAGAGACAGAAAACAATCACTGAACGCTCCCTGTCCATCCATGACACCAGAGCAGGTGTGCGTGGAAAGCCTGTGTGAAATATTCTACGAATGTGAAGCCTGCCAAGGATGACCATGTTTGTTTGATTTTCACATCCAAGTGGTCCTAACCGTTCGCACAAGAACACCCCACACAGTCTCAACCACATTCTTCTAGGAGAGGAAACAGCTGTGGTTCGTGTCAAAGTTCTTCACATCTCATAAGGAAGAGCATATAATGTAAACATTCTCCACATTCACATGTACATAAAAGAGGCTAGCAGAAAATAAGGCATTACTGACGGGACTTCTAATTTGTATAACAGACTTGCCTTATTAAAGTTCCAAACAACTCATTATCAAAACTAAAAACTCACTTGTGTGTAAACAAACCTCCACCTCAGCCGCCGGGTAAAGCACCAGCGTGCGTTTATCCAGGTTACTGAAGACACAGCCAGCAGAGGATGGATGCGCCGATCCTTGGCTTCCCCTTGGCATCATCACCGGAAAAATTCAGAATCCCAGCTCCAAACGCTCTCCAAGGCGGCAGTGGTGTCTCCCCCAGTGCCCTGCCCAGTGGTTGCTCCTTCGATGTCTGGAAATTCAGCCTGAAGCCCTCTGTCGTCAGGGCCCCTCGGCTCCCGTCCGTGTCATTCCCCACCCATTCCACACAGCCACAGGCCCTAACCCGGCGGAGGCCTGTGGGACACATCTCCGTCCCGCGGGGAGGCCGCAGTCGGCAAGCCTCGGGCAGCGTGCCTGACTGCTCAGACTTCTCCGCATCTGTCCTGCCCGGGTACTGCAGCGAAGTGGCCGTGAGGTGGATCTGGAGCTTGTCCAGGAAAAGTGGGTCCTCCGGGCCCCTCCATTCCCGTAGGGTACCTGCCCAGTGCTTTTCTTCTTCTGACACTGAAGCTCTGCACCCCTTCGACAGCTCTCCGCTCCTCCTTTGCAAGCCCACAGCAACAGCCATTCTACCGCTGACCTGTGAATTTGACCTCGTGTCTCTTTTTTGTGGATGGCTCATCTCACTTGGCGCAGTGATCTCAAGGTTCATCCAAGTAGCACGTGTCGGAATTTCCTAGCTCTTCTGAAGGAGCATCACTGGCTTGCTTCAGTGAGAACAGAAACTAAAGCTGAGGCAACAGCCCATGTTTATAGGCAAAAGCTTTCACTGGAAAGTAAGAAAGAGAAAGGACTTTAGCTTGAGAAGAAAGGCTAAGGGGGCACTGTTCGGATGGAGATCAAGCTGGGCCTTCTGAAAGGGAAGTAAGAAAATGAGGGGATTGCAGCTTTAGGCACAGAAGGGGGACAACTCTGACAAAGACCAGCCTGGCCCCCTTAAAAAGGCAGCAGTACAGTGTTCAGGGGCAGCTGAGTTGGGCAGAGTCTGGCTGAGGGTTGTCTGGGTCCTGGCTCCCGCGCTCTGGAGAAATCCTCGGAGCTGGATGGGCAGTTTGGCTCCCATGGCGACGGCTCCTGCAGGAGGGGCAGTAGGAGCAGAATGGAGGCTCTGCTGGGATCCAGAGTGGCTGCAGATTTGGGGGGCAACTGCAGGCTCTCAGGGGCTCATCCTAGGGGTTAAATGCAGTCCACCGTACCCTCAGTCTCAGAGGAGGATGAGATAGGTAAAGTTAGGGTTAATAAACCTTGTATTGCCAATTTAGACAATTAATCATCGCTGCATGATTAATGCCCCCTCTTCCCACGTGCAGGGCCAAGCAGGGGTCTGAGCCAGAGTTCCAAGGTAGTAAAGGAGAGAGAAGCGAGACAAGGGAGGCGGCCACGTTCGCTCCTGCTTTAGTCACTCACTAGGCGTCTGGGAGCAGAATCGCTTTTAGCAAAAGCAGCCATCGGGTCCCTGACCGCCTCAGGACAAACCCAAGTAGTGTCTGAATGAGTGACAGGTGAGGGCCCGAGAGCGTGCGCTCAGTGAAGGTCCGCATTTCATTTTCCACCTAGCTTGTCCTGGGACACACGGCGGCGGTGGCCTCCTGCGCCAAGTCAGGGGAGGTCTCAGGGTGGGGAAGGCAAGAGCACGCCGTGCTTTCGTGCTTTCGCGAGGACCGGTCCTAGGTGAGGCCTAGGAGTGCACCTGAGCTTTGGCCCCTACACCACCTCTCTGCTCGGTTGTCTATGCGTCCTTGGTTTGCCTCCACACTTAACCACCACAAACGACGTTGTGTAAACCTCGGTCTCTTCAAGACCCTGCTTCAGCTCCGAGCACAAAAACGGAAGGAGAACAGCTGGGTCATGAGGCCATTCTAGTTTTCATTAGTATTTTATTTTTTGGTGCTGGGAATCGAAGTAAGGACCTTGCACTTTTAAGGCAGGCGGTGGAACCACTGAGCTACATCCCAGGCCCCCAGTTTTCACTTCTATAGGGTAAATACTTAGGAAATACTTCAAGTGCCCTCAGATGCGATGCATCTCACAGCACCCCTTACAGCTGTCACTTGTTTATTCCGGATCCAGCTTCCTTGCCAGCTCTTTGTTTTGCAGTCTTGTCTGTGCCATGGCTTGTCACTTTTTTTTTTTTTTTTTT